TCCACTACAATGAACCAGTGGCCTGAATTGGCTGGACGCCTGTTTCCTATGGATTGGAGAGTCCCGATGGTACTGGTTGCTGCTTGTACGAAGAAGTAGTTTGCCTAGAGTACAACGTGTCCTATTTGGAAGATCAATTCATCCATGCCCCTGTTTGGGACAGCAACCCTGATTGGGTGCATCTCATGAAGACAACATCGGAAGCCGGTGTCTTGTATCTAGTTGCCGCAATCAATAAAAGTATAGATTTATGTTGTTACACATGATTCAATGGTTGAACAAGAGTATAATCCCAATGATCGTATTTGCAATTGACACATCCCTGCGGTGGTCCGTCGGGACAGTTCTCGGCACTACAGACCGCCGTGATCAAGTGCGTGAGGGCCTTTGTCGTAGGACTCTAAAGACAAGGATCTCGGGCCGTTTTCTATCCGGGGTGCTCTGTAATGGGTTGGTGTCCGAATACGTGTTGCAGAATTGATTGATCTCTCCACGGGAATTTGGTCGGCCGATGTGAGCGGGCGGTTGACCGAGGGGATGTACCCATTGAAGTGGCCATCGCTAGACAAGAATGCCTGACGACGAGTTCGAGGTTGGGAATCACAAGTCATCTGTCAGTGTGGAGGATTTTCTGTGTTCGTACACATAATGACACTAAATATACATGAAGAGCCGCCTCGTGATAATGTATTAGTGTGTGGGAGTCGTGTCGTAGTGGTAGACTAGCTATGTTGTGGTGGCTGGTGATGAAGTGTCGTCGTCCTCGGGAAAGGGCGTGATTTGACTCACAGTCTTCCACGGCCCCCAGATGTCTTGTGCGTGCATCAGGGTGCTGTGATTGGCGCGACCACAAACGACATAGATACCGGGTTCAATACTACTGTCATCCTGTTGTGGCTCGTTGTTGTCGGCAGTGGGATGATGCACAAACGGAGCTGGATTATTGCATCCAATCAGTGTATTGTTGAGCAAGGGTGTCCAGGGACCATGGACAGAAGTCGCCAAATGTATGCTACTGCTTTTTCCAACGACAGTTTCTTGCTGGAACGTCTGGTCATTGTCCAACAGTGTCCGACTGTTGATGGTTGTAGCAGTGTCCAAAATTGGCGTGGTGGATTGTTTCTTGCAGTCTCCCTTTTTGGCTTTATCGGGTCCCATGGCATCTCCAATATGAAACATGGCCAATCGCGTGTTCCTTTCGTCTCTGTATTTTTGTATTGACTAGTGGCCTGGACAATACTGGGTGGGATTGTGGAAAGGGGAGTTGTGGGCAGGCACCATGTGGGGAATTGAGGTAGGACCTTATTTGAAAATGGTATCGGGGGCCTACGGCAGGGTTCTTATATTCTGGAATTGGATAGGATGCCCAGGACTTGCGGGAGGACGAAGCAGTCCCCCGTAATTGGGGGATACAAAGATGTTTGGATCGGAGTGATCTTGGATTGCTTGGACGGGTGTTATGAAGAGAGGCTTCCAGGTGCGCTCGTGTGTGGTTTGGTGGGAGTTTCTTATGCTGGCGATTAGGCTGGTTCCTTGTGGAAAGGAGACTGGTAGAACATCCAGTATTCCACAATCCACTCCTTTCCATGGCTTGTCGCAGATGCAGTGATTTCCTTCCATCCATGTACGAAAATGGAATTCTTCTACCTTAAGTCTCCATCCAAGGAGGGAACAGGATTTTGTGTTGCGCGTGCTTGAGTATGGAAGCAGTCATTAGCAGTGTTGGGTAGTGGGGCTTAATTTCCCAATAACGATTTGTCGATTAGGAGTAAGCCGAGAGTCCGAGGGATAAAAACTATGTGGGTCACAACGAAATACATTTTTGAATTGACTGACTTCCGTAACACCATCGTCTCTCGTTAATTGACAAAGAAGACGTTCGGTAAGGGAAGCTAAAAAAGTGCCTTAAAAAATGGGATTTTGTTATTGAGAGGTCGGGGGACTAGCGAAAGATCGATCTGACTTAACTGCATTCTAAGAATTCGTCCTGAACCAACTCAGCTTTTACGATGTGCGTCACTCATTCTTCACTCAGCCGGTCGCCTATTTCTATCTTCCATATTGGCCAGGTGTCACACTCAAGCCTCTGAAAACAACTACGGGAAAAAAACTCCTACTAGAAACAGAGACAACCAAAGCGACATGAAATTTTGACTCCTCTGTTGACAGCTGCACATTGGCCCTTGCGATCGCATCCGCCTTGTGCGCCACTAAGCCGCAGCGGCGCGAGGGCGACGGCACACTGTTGGGTGGGCACCAGAGGCAAAAGTGGGCGTTTATCCCATCATGGAAGTAAGTACGGTCAGCTCGCGAATTAGAGGGTAACATCGGCGGCCGACCAGTCGCGCATACTGGGCGTCGTGTGCAAATAGTTACATGGGAGATCGGAATTGTGTGGGATTTGGGTGAAGCTGCAGATTGGGCGTTCTTATTGGTCAACTTTAAATCGACTCTCATAGCCGAATGTGCCGGATTGGGCAACGCGCGACTTTTGCTTCGAAGACGTCTCGCGGTAGAAGAGAAATGGCTTCTCATATTTGGTGGTATCGTTACTCGGGATCAGGGTCGATCGCAGTTGTTTACGTTAGGGCCGTGGGAGTAATGTTTGGCAGTGCATGGATGGACTTTCTTGGTTGAATCGCAAAACAAGGATTGTCCGTGGATTCGTTGTGAGTTACACCTACGCTTTTTGGGATTTTGGGATGTTTGCACGGGCGAAATGATCTATTTGATGCATGAACTAACTCTTCAACTTGCTTTCGTGTTAAACAGCCGTGACGAAGAGGTCAACTGGGATTACGTGCGATGCCTCAAGGATGGGGAATGCGTCTCGATGGCACGCTTGGAGTAAGATTGATATCATTATGCGCATCCTCGAATTGTGTGTCCTTAGCTGGGGAAGCATAGGTGGGTGGCTTTTGTTGCACAGTATGGTGGTCTGGTGTGGGATGTTGGTGTATCTTTTGCTATCGACAATTTCAGACACACCATTGGGCACAACCTCCCTGATAAAGACTGGAAACAGATTAGCTTTGTTGTGCACAAGCCTGTTCGGTTTGAGTGTGGCCAGGAAACAGTAAGAGTGAAATGTGTGGAAGATTCTTTTTTCGTGTTTTTCAGGTCCCACCTTACCTTCATCTTCTGGTGTACGGATCCATAAAGCCTAGAGTTCGACAATTTTGGTGTATATCGATGGTACTACTAGCTAGGCGTAGTTTAGTCTGAAGAGGTTACCATTGGTTAGAACAATATCATAGGTCGCCATCCTCTGCACGGTACGTGTACTGCACCTTTTGCAGGTGGCTTGCGCAGGTTCCATTTATTTGTTATTTGCTATTCTGGCTCTGTGGTGGTTCAGAGTGGCATAGCATGTGGCCTGTGGAGTCCATGGTACAGCGTCGGCGCCATTATGTTCTCCTTCAGCCGACTTAGCTATGATATCTATGCGAGTCTTGGTTGAAGGTGCTGCATATTTCTAACAATCCGTGGCGGAGTTGTGCCAACGGGAATAGGCAATTCCAGATTTCCTGAGGTGCCGACTTGGGCTTGGCGACATCTATGGCCTCTTTCGTTCTAGTCGGTCTACGCACGAGACTATCGTCTGGAAAGTCTACTTGGGTGATGATGGCTGTGCACTCACGGGCCTCATCATTCATTCTGCGGTGTATAAATCTGTTTCGCTCGGTATGCGAGACGTATTACCATAGCCATAGCCAAAATACTGTAGGTAGCGGCTTTTAGCTAGAGCTCTAGAGATGTGCTGCTGGTGAGCGTTTTGGGATCAATGGTATGAGGGTACGTGTGGAGCGTACTGTACTCGGTATCGTAGGGCGTTTGGTTTGGGTCATCCTCTGTTTTTCCCCATGACCTCCGTTGAGACACCACCCAAGCCAATCGGGCAAGATTGTGGGGCGTTAGCTGTCTCCAAATTTCTATTTTCCTCCCACAACTCGTCAACACGAGCCTCACAGTCTGACCTTCCAGCTAGCTCAAAGATATTGCTATAAAAAGATGGCAAGGAACCACGCTCGAAAGCGCCTTCGAGCCGCGGCAGCCCAATCCAGAGAGAATCCGTCTTTGTTGTTCACGGCAAAGATGGCGCTTCGAATTTTGGCCGTTCTGTTGCCGTCCTTGACCATAATGAGGTTGGCGCAAAGAGGGTCCTTTGAAGCCACCAGTACCAATGAGCTCATGGCCATGATCCAAAGTACCATGCCACAGTCGTTCGAGCTTTCATTTCCAGGCGGCGCAAACAGCTCGGCTTCCACTACTAATCTGCTGCGAAGCAGGAGACAACGATGAACAACAAACAAGGCCACAGTGTACAAGTATCGCAAATACGTGGAACTGCAGGATGAAGTGGAAAAGGCATCCAAGAAACATCCCATGCCAGATGGTCAAAGACAAGAGAATAGCTGGAGCGCCTTTCATCGGGCAACACTAGTGGAACGGGCGCCATGGTTGCCACGTCGAAAGAAGTGCAAAGAACATGCTGTGTGGAAACAGTGGCAATTTCACTGGACCAGGATGACCATCAACTCATCAATACTCGAGATGGTATTGAATTGTCTGATCTGGTGCTCCCACATGGCATAATTCAAGCCGACAAAATGCAGCCAGACCACTTGTACTACTTTGCCAGAACTCTAGACAAGGCCATGTTGCCCTGCATTGTACCGGGAACCATTATTGGTATCGAAAATCACAACGATCTCACGGTTGGATTCTTTCATGAATACCGGCCAAACATCAAGGTGCCCTACATTATTTCCACCACTGGCTCTGATGGAGACGCTCCGAACGTGTATGAGGAGTACATCAAAGATCCACTCTTGATCAAGTGGTATGGAACCAATCCAATCTACAGGACCCACACCGACTTTCGGGAGAATGTTCACAAATTTGAACCGCTCAACCTGGGACTATCCTTCCAACACCCCCATGAACGCAATCTACTTCCCTACATGAAGTCTGAACCATTTATAACCCATTCCGGACAAATCCAAATGGACTTTTCCACAAGAACAAACTGGATTCAATAGATGTTTGTTTCATTTGGTGATCTTCTCTACGTTGTGCTACGAAGGATTTGTGGAAGGTATTATGCCCCACCTTTGCTACAGACAAAATTTCGTGCAATCAGGAAACTGAAAAAATCAAAACTCATGACATTTACAAGGAAATGAGCCAATTTCGCTTTGGTGTTAGTCCTCCAGGAATGGGGTTTGACTGCTACAGAACCTATGAGATGTTTTTGCTGGGTGTCATCCCAGTTGTGGAGGACCAGGATATCCTAAGTCACCGTCTCTTTGAGGGCATGCCAGTTGTATTCGTGCACAACTTGGCAAGCGTCACCAGTCGGCAGGAAATTTTGGATGCCATTGAGAGCTACATTGCAAGTCCCAATTCCAGAATGCCACCTTTGAGGAAGGATGGGGTGCTTTTCCTCAAACACAAGCGCAGCAAATGCTCAAGGATGGCCAACAAGTCAGGGAAATAGTGGAAGATGAACAGGGCAGGAAGTACTACCAAGCATACCGCTACTCTGTTGTTGGAGCATCTGACAACTCTGTTGACGAGGCAAAACTCAAAGCACTGAGAGCCCCGTGGTTTGATGACCCTCAACCAAAATTTGAACCAGGCGAGGAAGGTTGGATAGAAGATTGGAAGGACAAAGCAGTGTTCAAGAATTATGGATAGAGGAGGTTGGTTGCCAGAGTGAAGAACGACTGAGCAATACCCCACGATATCCCACATTTCCTCCCGAATTCCACTGACCTTGGATCTCTCTGCCTGTCACATTCTGGGATAAAAGCCCCTGTTTTGTGTGCAACATAAGCACTGACAACCGAAACAGAAAACCATTGGATCATCACAACGATGAGCCATGAGTCCCTACTACTGGTATCGAATGAATGAATCAAATCACTCTTCGACTTTCCGGAACCTTCCTTGAACCCACACTCTCCGACGAACCTCGTTGGTCGATCGATTCTGATACACTCGTCGCAAGTACTTTAGTTCCAAGATCGCAAGACCTGCTTGAGTCTCAAACAAGTCTCGCACGTCTTCTAATGTAAAATAGTAGCATTTTGTACCATCGTGTTTCCGATAGAAATTGCTCCTCTTCCAGTCCCTTGTTGCGGCTGGTCTCCCAAGTCTCATTGTGCTTCGTCGTATGGCGTACCATAGTCCCTGGAAGACAGCGAAAACGCCTGGGTTGGGTCTGGAGGGGCTGGCATTCAAGGTTGCGCACGGCCTGGAAATCATGGGCGTTCTTCGCTGCGGACGTGAAATATGGGCGGACAAATCAAAAACAGAAATAGAGCTAACGATTGGCGACTCCAACTGGTAGGCAGCTGGATGATTGGGTGGACCGGGAACTGGCATAAATGTCGCGAGACAAATGGCATTGCGATCGTGCCTTGTTTGGTCAGTCCTGGATGTGTAATCGGTTCGCTCTTGTTGGAGCGCAGGAATGTGGCGAGTTCTTCCTGCTCGAGTCCATCCATAAGTCACTCCACATCTTGGTCTGTTGGTCGTGCCTTGTTGTGGTTTGGATTGTGTTGTCAGTTTGTGCTGATCTAGACTTAAGAATGAAGGGCAGCAAGTGGCATTTCCCCGCCGAGCTATTCACTCCACCAGAGTTCGTGTGTCCGTGTAGATCTCCGACTGACCTCTAGCTGCGTGTGGCTGAAGAAAGCCTACTCGTGCGGTATATAGGCCGTGTGTAGATAATGGCGATCTTTGAAAAAGTTGGTCTGGTGTTCGGCTGTAGAATCTGTTCCAGGCTTGTTCGTTTTCGCTGATAACACTCATATGGGCGGTCCCGATTACTCGCCATGCCGTTTCCCTTGGACAACGCCATTTAGCTAGTGGAATGGACAGGTTCGTTTCCGTGCTCGACTGTGTGAGAGGTGTAAGGTTCAAGCGCTTCTGCCTACTACTTCTGTTGGGGTCCTGTTTCGGTTCCGTTCCCAAAAAATGCAACGTGGTTCTTTTTTCCCCTCGTAATTCTCTCACGAACTCAGTAGTCGGGAATCTGTGCGGGTCGCTGGCCTGCCGAAGAGTGAGAAAGTGATGTAATATTGTCCGTTCGTAATTTCATTCTTACCTCCAATTGCATCGTCCATAAGTTGGACTTCTGCCGTGGTCCAGATGATAAGCATGCCTAAGGACCGAAGCTGAAGTGCCACACGCTGGTACCCAGGGACTACACTCGCTTCCACTAGGTAGGGCTTAGCATCCCATACGGAGACATAGATTTTGGGAGAGTTCACATTCTCGCCGGATTGATGGTCGGACTGGAGTTGTGGGCCCGCGCTGGGGGCGCATCGCGTTTGTCCGCAATGTGATGTCGGTAAACAGTGGAACATCTCTGGAGCGCCAAAATTCTGCGAGATTCAGAGGAAAGTAACGTTGAGGAAGAAATATGTATTTCATAGTGCGCTCTCTCGGGTGTCTCGCGTTTCGACGTTGGTACTAGTTTAATTTGTCTACTAATACAGGATATTGGTGAATAGAATCGAATTAATCATGTGGGTTATATTTAGGGTTTAACGGTAGCGGTTTTGCGAGAGTTTGATGAAGGTTCTAACGAGGGTTTTATGTATGTGTAGAAAGCTTTTGTGTGTTTGATAGTAATGGCGTTGTTTAGAGCTGAGGTTGGGCTGCGCCTTGAGCCCGAGGGACGGTGCTGGCTGTCTTCTTTTTTTCTCTTGCCTGCCGGTCTTCGCGTACTCTCCTTGTGGGGTAGGTGTCGGGTTAACAGGATCGTGGTGGGACCACTAGTTCGGCAGCTTTCTTCATACTATGGTTGCGTAGCGGCGTGTCAGCAGGTTGGGGGTGATACTTCGTCATGTGGAATGGTTGGCGCGTAACGTGGTTCGTTGTGGAACCAGGTGGTACATCGTTGGGGCGAGATGGACTTGGTACCTTGGCTTGCATATTGTAATGGGTATATGGTGCTGCGATCATATGTGTCGGGGAGGGTCCGAGGTCGAGGAGTTCTCTGAAAGTGAGGGCAGGGTCGGGATTACGAAGCTCTTAGTTAGGGAGACTCTGTTCACCACTCTTCTTCGTTTCGCTGGGCTGTCGCTCTTGCTCGAGATTAAGGTTGCCAAGCTTTGCGGAGGGGCTCAAAGTGTAGATGGCGGGGTCTGGGAGGGCGAGGAACGCATGGGGAAGGGCCTAGTTGGTGGCCACTCGTGTTTGTAATGGTGCGAATTGGAGGTAAGACGTGGATCGGGGGGGGAGGGGGTGTGCGTGCGTGCGTGGGATGCCTTGTAATAGGTGTTGCGACTGTCGTGCAATGGAGGTGGATTGGCGTCAGGCGGGCGCGATTCGGGGTGATCCTAGTCCTGAAGTGACATCCCAAAGGTATGATTTTTCGGTTGTTACATCGGCACGGACTGGCAAGAGTCTTGAAGGGCGGGGAGTTGTGAGCACTTGGGGGCTAACATTTAGTAGGTACTATCAATGTCGGGCCGCTGTGTCATGTCCTTTGGGGGGAGGTAATTTTGTGTCCTGGGATTTTGTCTCAGATGTTTGCCGGTTTTATTTTGGATCGGTCTTTGTGATTCGATTATTGTCCTAGGAGGAGATGTTTGTCATTTCGAGACGGCTGAGTCATATGATGTGTCGAGTGGGTGTATCCAGCATGCACTGTTTGCCAGGTGGTCATATTTTGACGGTCGGTACCATTTTGTCTCGGGTTCGTCGAGGAACTATGGAAAGGGTTCATCCTTGCTTTGCCGGGTTCGGTTGACACCGTTATTCGGTCATGTATTTGGGTCGGCCGGTGGTTAAATGTGGTTTTCATTGGAACCCGAAACTATTAAGGAAGCGATGTCATGGGTGGGGTTGGGATTGCGGGCGAAAGAATTTACGTTTTTCACATAGTGGGTGTCCTCACGGTTACACGTCTTTGGGCAATCTATGATTTATGGAGGAGGGAGAAGGTCTCCTTTTTGGTCATAAGCAGTACTGTTGGTGGCCACTCTGTACCTAAGGAGCTTTTCCCCATAAGCAGAAGCGGGGTCCACAAACTTGAATACCCACTCGATCAAGTGCTTGTCAGCGAGGGCATGAACAAAGGCCATCATGACTTTGGGTTTAACGCCGTTGCAGGCGTTGCGGTCCTTCGGGCCACGTCGGCTCGTTGTACTGGGCCTGCCGGTGGGAGTGGTTTCTTTGTCCAGCAAAGGGGGCTGTGAACTTGAATGGACGATTCTCCGGGGAACGGGTATCTCTTCCGTTCCGTGTAGAGGTTGTCCATGTTGAATTTGGACAGCGTTGTGGAACTTCTACCTGGGTTAGTTTTGCAAAACAGGACTCCTCTTGCTTTTGTTTGCCGGTGCTGTGCCCTTTTTTTTCGTTCTGCATGTGATCTGCTCGCGGGTAGGGGTGCAGGTGGTGTTTGATTGCGATCGATGTGAATTGTTTTGATCTTCGTCGCGGTGTTTTGGGTGGCGGGAAGACATGGTGAAGCGTGAGTGGTGCTGAAAACTTTTGATAGATACGGTTAAAGAGGGAAGGTGAAGTGGGGGCCCATAATTGGTTGAATATGGCAAAAACCTCTTGTCATAACACACGAGGAGCGTTAGGACATATCGAGACTAGGTTAAAGTTACGTGGCAGTTGGGGAGCAAGAGAGGTGGGGCCTGATGTGCGGTTGGACCTCGTTGCTAAGGGTAGTAGGTCAGTTTGAGAGGATGCTGGGTCCTGGGTGATTGGTTTGGTAGGTGGCGGCTGAGCTGGATGGTCTGTTGTGTTGAGCGGGTGTCTTGGTCAAACCTGACTGTCGATTTGTTTCGCGTAAAGGAATTGGTTTCGTCATAGGTAGTACAGTTTTCAGGAACTTGGCAAAAGAAAGTAATATGCTATGAAAGCGGGCGATCGTTTTTGGCTCTTGGGCGGGCTTGAGTAGTATACTTGGCTGCTGTATCCGACTTGAGCGGAGAGTGCGTAGATAGTGTAGCATGGCTTGTAATCCTATAGAGAAACAGTACACTTGTATAGAAGGGGGAATGGGCGTTGCCAGCGGAAGACGTGTACGATACCTTCGCTAGAAATCGAGCTATATTTGTGTTTGCAGCTTGATGGAAAGATTTCGATTTGGAGATTTATATTGTACAGGGGACCAGTATCATGCTGTAGAGCGACATGAGATGAATACTACGTGGTGATTTTTGGGAAAAATTGGGCATGCCGGTGCAGAGGGATTAGGGTATTGTGAATGACGGTGCAGGTATACAGGTGAGGAGATCGTTATCCTACCACACGGATGACTTTAGAGCGGCTGCCCTTCGAGATTGTTTGATTTTCCTCGGGGTAAGATGTCGCATGCTATATGAAATGTAGCACGCAGAAAGACAGGAGGGGGGATGTTATTAGAAACCTGGGGAATTATTTTAGGCTTCTAAGATCCTAAGGCATGGGAGGGAGAGTTAGGACAACTGGTGGCTGGCTGACTTTCGCGTTTGGGTCGCTGCAAAGAATAATGGGAGTCTGTTTTTGCTTCACGGCGCTTGTCGTCTTCCTATTTCTGTGGTGGTGGTGCAGGTGACAGCGATACTGCGTGTTAAGCCTACCAGTGAAGTCGACGGCTCGTTTCCTGATCGTGGAAAAATTGGGATAGGAGTATGAGATAAGTGAGGGTAACAGATTTTGTTCGTTTTTTTCGAGGTGGTAACAGGCACGTATAGCAAAGTAGCCGATTAAGTGGGGCTCGGCTGTGGCGAC